ATATTACACCTCGCCTTTTCATTTGAGTCCTCGGTCGATTTTTCTTTCGCGTCGTTGCGTCGGTCGAGACTCCTTCCTGTGACGACTGTGCTGCGGTTTACTTGTTTCGCATCGATGAATTCCATCCTGTGCACTTCGTTCCTTGTATCTTCCACGTCCCTTGTCCACTCCGTTCGTCCAATGCCGAGTCGTTCGTTCCTGGTCTTCCTCGAATCCAGATGTCGATCATCTTCCCTCGCACTCCTGGTTCATCTGGTCAAGCGAACAACAGCACAGCTGTGAATTGTTAAACATTGATCTCGTGTTCGTTCGTGTCGCGCCAGTGTAGTCTCGTAAGAACGATTGAACCGAAGGACTGACTCAGTAGCTAACGATTGCCGTTTACACGCAAACAGACGTGAACGACGATAATGAGTAACAGCTGAGTGCAAGAGAGAGGGAGAGAGCGAGCGAATGGACGAGAGCATGGGGAAGATGTTCTTTGCGACGGCAGAGGCAGAAAGTGAAAGGAAAAGCGATCGGAATTCCGGGTAACAGTGATTCGTTTGTTTGTACAGCAGGTAAACGAAAATTTGACGGGGGTCACCAGAACCAGGGGGAATCTAAGCGTCGCTTCCAGAGCAACTGGGGAAACCAACCCCTCGCCCAACAACCACTGGGCAATGCGTACGGACTGGCGAGTGTGAACGGTGGCAGTGGTGGTGGTGGCGGCGGTGACATAGGATTCGGAGGTAGGACCGCCACGCTCGGCGGTGTTTCCAGCGACGATCACGAGTGGTACCAGGACTCCTACCAGTCGTGGAGCTAACTTATGCGAGTCTGTGAGTGAATACGCACCCACGCACGGACCTAAGTACGCACGCAAGCACGCACGCACGCACGTACGACGTACGGACAAACGGAAGAAGGAAAGAGAGGAAGAAGGACGAAGGGAAGGAAACGAAAAATGAAAGAAAGAAACAAAGGGATACCAAATTCGAGTTGGCGTCGTTATGCGTTTGGAAAAAAAAATAGGCGTGAGAGCCGGAGAGGCGATCGTCGAAATGTAACGGGAACAGCTAGGAGCAGCGTTTTGGAAAAACGAGAAGAGGAAGACGAAGCCGAAAGGAAAGAAGATGCGCGATTCATTCGTAACATTATTTACTCTACCGATCTGGCAATTGTAAATGTTTTTAATGCCTGTTCAATTGATCAAAACTGAGGAGGAAGAGAAGAAGAACGGGGAGAAGAAGCAGGAGGAGGAAGAAGCGCGAATAAGATACGCGTGAAGCGTCGTACTAAGGCGTCACCACCATCGCCCGCTATTGTTGTGATTATATATACAGTGATGTGCCACTGGGACTAATTTTCGCATCGGAGTGACCACCCTACAACCCACCCCGTACTATTACTATATATATATATACATATACATATACATATACATATATTTATATATATATATATATATATATAGACGTACATACACACACAGACACGTACATATATATACACACAAAACATTTTATTTATATATATATATACATATATATATATA